GCACTATCAAGTATGGCCGAGCCAACAGAGATGCAAAAGATACAAACTAGACAGATGCTGCAAATGCATTTAACCCAGTATCATAAAAAGGTGATAAGGAGAAATTACCACTACACTAGACAAATTCCTATCAGGCGATCAAGTTTTCCCTCCTTTTTTATAGGATTAAAAAGCTGTCTCCCATGGGGAGAAAGAAATACGCAAATCCCTTATTGTCCTAGCTTGTCCCTCTCTCCTCCTCCCCCCCCCCCCCCCCCCCCCCAAATATTCTGCATTCCAGCTTCACATAACAGCAATATTTAGGTTTGGGTGGAGAATATTTTAGATGCAACAGATAGACTTTGTCAAAAGTAAGTGTGAAAAACCAGCAACTGGAATTAATGTTAAAAGGGTAAAAATTATTTTAGTAATGTGATAGTCATGATAAGCAAAGTAAGCCAGGAGTAAAGAGGCACATCAGTACAACATCAATTCTGATTAAGATCTGTTTCAAAGCCTGACCTTCATCAGTTGCTGACAAAACTCAATCCTTGCTGATGCCACAAGCTAGACAAATAACCATCTAACAGAGCAACAGCTGCAGCAGGAGACATTTAAACTCTTGGAAGTACAGCTGTTCACAGACAGAAGAGATCACTCCTTCGATCTACAAAGCTACATGTACAGAGGAGAACGATGGTGCTTTTTTACTCACAATATCAACTATCTGGTAATTCTCAGTGTAGGCATCTTTAAATTACAGTCAATTTGAAATCAAGTGTCATATGTTGCTTAATTCTCTTGCATGAGCTCTGAAAAAAACTCTGCAGTTTTGGCAGTCTCAATTTTACCCTGCTACTTTGAATGCAAAGGTACTTCAACACTTTCTTTTTTTCTTTTTATAATTAGAAAATCTGTCTCACCAGTCCATGCTCACACTAGGTACCTCAGGAATAATGCTGACATGCTTGTTCTAACCATGCACTTGATATGAACTCAGATCCCTAGCACTTTACCTCCTCCTTTCACACCCTTACTAGATTATCAAATTATTATTCTGGCCTGAATTCACACAGATTTATTAGGAGATCATGGACTTCATTACCAGTAAGTGAGGAAACATGGTGGAGCTCATCATAGTAATTGCAAACTAATTACAAATGCAGATTCTCTAGTAAAGACACTTTTATTGGATTTCCTCAATTCAGCAAATGCTTATCTATAATTAAAATAGTAAACAACTGGAAAACCTTACACTTTTGTGACTAAGTGGTGTTTCTGTCAGATGGGTAATAAATAATGTAGTCATTACAGAGAATTGTTCTTTTTCTGAATCTGCTGGTGAATTTTTAACTCTCTGAAAACTGCACAGCTTTGGACAGGAACAGGGCATTTTTTCCCTATGTTATTTTGCTTTTAGAACACGTGTAATAGTAGACCATACAATTAGCTGAAGGTTAGGAAAGGTCTTACTCCAGCTGCTTCCTAAAACCAAGTATTAAGTACACTGTAGAAATCCAGTAGCACTTCTGCCGCATACAGTCTCTCATTCTGTTATTTTATATTTGTTTGTACTGACTGTACCAACCTGCTTTATTGCCTACTTTATATAGAAAAGAGCCAGTCACTGAAAAAAACGTCTAGGTAAATCTCAAGACCTAAACTACTTGCAAATAACAGAATCATAAAGAAGAAATTCATGCTAAAGCTCACATGAAATCCTGGACTTGTTGAAGTAGATGGCAATGCCAGAAGCTTACTTTGGTAACGCTGGTTTGGTTGTGTCCGAGTATGCATAGACTAATTTTTGTCATCATCATTTTCTTCACAAGTTCCCTCCCTGATTTAATGGACGAGATTGAAAACTTGCATTTTGTGCTGTTGGAGTATTTTACATCACAGCATTAATAAATTTTCAACATAGAGCATACATATGTGTGAGCTTAGATTTTTAAAATTCCTTCACAGGAGCATTTTTACAGTGAGAGTATGCAATAGGGGCAGTATGTATTGCATCTATCACACCTGTTTAATTGGAGAAACTCACAGCTGTAGAAAGCAGCTGTAAGTATACAGAGGCACATAACATTTGGGGCCATGGCAAAAGATTTGCAATGTAGGCCCAAGGGCAGCTGAAGAAACTGCTTTTCTGCAAAGCTTCATTTCACTTAAGGATTTTGGAAGTGTTCCTGTTTTTTTTCCTTGTCTACTGACTCACAACCTCCATACTGAGGTCCCTGTCCTTTCCTCACATTTTCCCCGTTCCCTTTCTGAACTTTCTCCCTTCAGTGCTGGCTTTTCTCTTCCTCTGCACATTCCTGGGAGTGCTCAGTCCCAATCTTCTCATGAAATCCTAGTGCACTTCCAGCCAAAACATTTTCCCCCAAATTCTGAGCAATTACTATCTCTTTGCCCACCCAGCTCACTCTCAAATGAGTCATAGACTACCTTACACAGACACATGTAAGGTTACCTACTACTAGGTGATACTCCAAGTCTTTTCATCATGTACAGGTCTATATCTATATAAGATGTTAAGCCATGTGCCATTATACTTGCTGTACTTTTTTACTAATCCTTTTAACAGTTTTTTATTTCTTACTTTAACTGGTAGCATCTTTGTATCAGAAAATGCAGTGCTTCATGCACAGCCATCTAACTAGATGCCAACAGGTAGTTACTGGAAGCCTGCTAGTAATTTCAGCTTTATTGTGGATTAATCAAAGAGTGCAACCTGTGGTGCAGGTCAAAGAGAGGACTGTGTAATTTGCACAGTCTAGCTATTTTCCATGACTAGGTTTTAATTAGAGATATAAACAAATATTTGAATAAGAGAATATTTTTTCACTCTCAATCAACGTTTGTTTAACAAGATTTCAAAACAATTAACAAAAAAGCTGAAATCTGTCCTCCAATATCTGCCTTCAGGTGGGCTCCCATTAGAAAAAACTGAAACAGTTTTCTAGGATTAAAAGAACAGCAGACAGGCATGGTAATAATGGATATATATTTTCATGGCAATAAAGCTTAATTCTTGACTTAGAGGTTATTAGTAAATTGTTTTTATATGGTCCATAAAATGTTTAGCCACCAAGTTACACTTCTAGTTATGCTTTATATGGACCTAGGTGAAGGGTTAAAAGTGGCTAAATTAAAAAAAAACAACACATAAATAATTCAAGATTTGATTGTGCAAATTACATGCCATACTTGTACCTATATATAGCTACACTCTGAATTAGAAACTAAATATGAATACCTTATATTTATTGCTACTAATATAAAATTTAATGATTGCATGGAAAGTCATAGTTTTCTGCAAAGTTTCACAGATCTAGGGCTTAAAGCTGATACTGATCCAACCATCTGTGTATATAAAAAGATGCTGCACATTTGGGCTCTGGGTTTTCGGTCTGGTTTTGTTTTTTTGGTGTTTTGTTTTTTTTTTTAATCTCCACCAAAAATGCACAGTTACAATTCAATTCTGTGGCATTTTAGGTTAGGATAACCACAGTCTGAGTGCCCCAATATCACCACAAATAGGATTACCTGAAGTTGAGGGTTATCAAACTATGAAAAATAAGGACACTTATCATAGCCCCACACTGTACAAGCTCCATTCTGAAAGGAAGGATTCATCCGACTGCCCCTGCATTCTTTTTTTATTCTTCTTCAAAAAATCACTATCATGATACTCCATTGTCCTAGTGAAAAAAGCCTGCATGGCTTTAACCTTTTAAGTTTCTTACTGACTGAGCTACAGTATTCCCAGCCTTTGTTTATCTAAAATAAGCTGTATAAAACACATTTGCTATCACTAACTAACAAAAAAATAGGAAGCTGCTACATAGATGTCAACTATTTGATAGTTTAGTGGGTTTTTTCTTGGAGTTTTTTTTTAGTATCTATTGTATCCCATTCCAATTTTCCTGTAGATTTAAATCAGCTCAATATGATCTGGATGAATAGGAGGAAACAAAGAAATGAATGATGTTTCAGGGATCTTTTTTGAAAATTGCAAGGAAAAACTTATTTTTGTCTTTTCAATATGATTTTAATAACCCATTACCAGTTACCAAAACCAGAAAGACATTCTTATAGCCAGGCAGACAAAGGATTCATAACTACATTTTTTTAATCTGAAATTTACTTTTAAGTTTACAACCTGAAAAGACAAACCTGAACCGAAGTGCCATATTATTCATCTCTCTTGTTTTTACCGCCTTGTTATACAAGTTTATTTTGGACATGTGTTGCAGTGTTTTTCACAGATCAATGTTGACAGAAGAAATGCACAAGCAGTAGCACTGTTTTGTATCTTTTGCATGCAGCAAAGATCAACCTTGATCTAAGCCTGATTTCCGAGATCAGTGAACTAAGGATAAGGATTTAACCATGGGAACATTTAGCATCATCACATCTGCGGAATTTTTTCCATAGGACCTTCCAATCCCATTTTAGCTATTGCCACGGGGCAATAAAACCCAACATCTCAGGTTTAAGGTCCAATACAGAGAGTTTTATCTTCCTACTGTCTTAAATTCTGGAAGTTCTGAAAGATGTTCTAAAGCAAATTTGAACTGGATCAGGGAACAAGGAGCAACAGAATGAGTTTCTTAGCAGATATGTGTTGCCCTGAGGGCAAGCTAGACAAAATGTTTGGTTTTTTTTTAAGGTTGCATTCATGACACAATGCCAGACTTGGGCTGTACTTATCTCAACAGGCCTGCCTTGAGATGAGGAAAGCATGGATCCCTATAGTCCTGTTTCCATCTAAAAGGACAAAAACTCATTTCCTATGTGAGGGAAAAGGGAACAGATTTTATTAAGCTGTTTCTATTTGAACTGGAGGCCTATGCATAATCTTCATAACTGGAAGAAAAGTGCTTGCAATTAATTTCTATTTTTTTCTTTTCAGGAAGTTCACTGTAGCAATGCTGTGGACAACTGTCTATTAACTAGGGAGCAGGAACCGATGCATGGGTTAACGTAAGAGAAGCAGCTTTAAATATTAAAGCATGTGTACTTTGCACGTTTCATCTGGTCCTGATAGCTTAGCACAAATCTTCAAATACAATTGTGACAAAGAAATGCAAAATCATTAGAATTTTAGGTGGACAACTTCTACATATCATTAAAGACTTGCTTGGGATTGGATTTGCAGAGCCTTGGGCATGTATAGTTGTAAGAAGATAAGAGGAAGACATACCAGTCAAGCTAAATCTTCCATAAAACTAAACCAGTTCAATTTGTGAAGATATCAGTTATGCTTGGGTTTAAACAGAAGTGGGTTGGATCATTCAAGGGATCAGGGATTTATGCAAAGAATCCTGACTTGTATATGCAGATCAAGATGGCATTTAATTAAAAAATACACAGCTGTACTTGTTGTATAGCCCAATATAAAACTTTGTGATTAAACAAAACTGCAGTTAAAGCATTGTGAAAAAAGTTATTCTATAATTACAAAATGTGAGGTTATGAATGTAATCAGCAGTAATTAAAGATTGACTTCATTGTTCACTGACTAAGAGCTAGAGCCTTATTTAAATTGATTTTCATTTATTCTAAATATAAAATTTCTTAAAGATCTGAACTGAGTCACCGCTTAAAAAACACACAGCAAGTGATTTTTTTTTTTCCAGAGCCAAGAGAAATACATGCCTATGCCTGGACCACGAGTAGCTCCAGCTTTCTGGAGCCAAATCCTCAGGTATGTATTTTTTCTCCTGTTACTAACTGTCAGAAACAATAAGTTAGCAATGAAAAAGAAAAATTAAAACCAGTGTGGACTGAAAGTGAAAGTTGGTATTGCACATTAAAGACCCAGAATATTTACAGTAACATTTCTACTTGCATCCCACTTTGCCGAGTAAAACACAGATCACTTTTCATCCTTGGTTGCTTTCTTTGTAATATACAACAGATAAGCCTTTTGAATACCAAGAATTTTTTTCATTGCTATCATTCTGAATTCTGACTGTGGAATGGATCAGAGAGCACTGAAATAAAGCCAGTACATGTACTGGCAAAATCCACAACTGGGATAAATCACTTCAGTCCCCAGTTTTTGTCAGGATAGTGGTCATGGGTTGACAAGATACAAGTCAAACTGGAAATAGCTGGAATCACAGTTTACAAGAGTTAACTTCATAAAAGCTGCTTCTCTGTGTGGCTACTGCAGCCTTTGAGAGCTGAAGCGCCATACCTTCCATATCAGGAAGGTGCATATATTGAGCCTTTTGCTGAGCTAGGAAAAGTAGGCTGAGCCACAAATTATATGGAACAGCCCAATATGCTGAAATAGAGACAATCATAAGAAAAGTTTATCAACTTTGGACTTTGAGAGAAAATGGTAAAAAGATGAATGCAAAGTGAGTGACAAATGGGATTAATCCAAGTGAGAGCTGAGAATGAAGTTGAGAATGTTAAGGAAGGACATGATGCATTCTGTGTTTGTGTATAAGAAAGGCTGAGTAATAAAAGGTTGCCTGGTGCCGTACACCTTCATGCTCATTTTGGATCCTTCCTGTGAAAAAGCCCGATTCACCTATGTCCTCCTCACCACAAGGTGGCACATATGTACTCCCTATGATTTTTAACTGTCTCTACAGTTTACTTCATTCTTACATTACTTCAATTTTTACACAGAGGAAGGAGTGAGAGAATAAATGCAGGGAATGATAAACTGCATTATATTATCAAGCACAGACTACTAAAGGTAAGCAAACTACTCTTAATATGTGGGTTAATTCCAAACTTTCCTTGTTGCTATTATTTACAAAAGGGTCTGAGGTGTATGCACATCAAAAATGTGGGAAACAAACAGGATAAGGAGGTACTGAAAAATTAGCTCCATTGTGTTTTATAAATACATTCACTGGAAATTCAACAGAATTTAAGGGTGAAATGGACCATAGACTTTGGGTAGCAGACTGGTGCCAAAGATCGAAATAAGCGTATAGAAGCAGAAAATCAGGAATATCTACCCATTATTTTGATTCCCTGTATTTTAAGTCTGCAGCTCAGCCAGTGGTTGATATACAGCATAAGAGTTTTTCTTGCATTGTGGCCACTTCTAGGGAACTAGACTGTTACGTAGAAGTAATTTTTCCTTCATGCTGATAAAGACTGTGTTTGAACAGGTCTTTGAACATCCAAATATACAGTCTCATTTTCACCTAGTGGCTGATGAAATAAAAATCTCATGCTATAAAGATCTATTGCATGATCTATAAATGGCCCCAGCACACCCTTTTCCACAGTACATAATGGACCCACATGCTTCATATCCATCAGAAAGGCACTAAGCAGACTATGAATCCACCGAACTGCAGAAGGGATTTGAAAGCAAATGGAGATAAATGTGTGAGTACAAAAGAGAGGAAGGAGGAATTTCTTAAGGACAGATAACTGCTGACCTAAACCAAGCACAGAAACACTGGCTAGTATGTGAAGCAGTTCTGTCCACATACCACAGAATATATGTTTTTAGAAAGTAGATTCTTGGAGATTTAAAGTATAAACTATGTACACAGCTCCCTCTGATGACCACTGGACACGATACAATGCGAGTCTCCTTTTATTTTTGTTCGTGCATTCAACTGACAGCTGACTGGTTAAATTCTAATTGCTTCCAAGTGAGGTCAGCAAAGGTATTTATCGAAAAGGACTGAACAACAGGCTCAACACACACATGCACGCGCACGCATAAGCACATACACACCATCGCTCCAGCGTGTTGATTTATGGAAACAATTATAATTCTGGTGGAGTCTTTCTGAGCTGAGAAAGTTTGTAGCTACAGTAGAGTGTCTCATGTTGCAAAAAGCAGACAACAGAAATGGAGTACTTGTGTATCCAGCTCTTATCAACAGGAACAAGTAAGTTATCTGTCCTTTACAAGAACGTTTAACAGTTTCTAAAGGCTAATAACTTTTATCTTCATCTGTATATGCTAGATGTTAAAAAAGCATTCAGAAAACTGTTTCTATTAATAAGCTGAAAAGGGTAGGAATAAAAAAAATCCAGAGCTAAGACTATGAGGTCTGTTGAAATTTGAACTAGAGAAAAGTTAAGTGATAAATTGTGCTAATAGTGAATATATAGGTATGAAGTAATCAGCAGAATTATACCATGCATGAGAAAGTAGTTCAACTGCATTAATAGCGGACTTTTGCAAGGACTTAAAACTGAAGGCAGAACTATGTTTACAATCAGTTTAAATGTCTGTTTATGTAAAAATTTGTGTGAGATATCTATTGTATAGACATCTGCATATTTTTAAAGTCAGCTCAGCATGTCATACATTTATGTATAGTAACTTTCAGTAGCATAATGTATCCTTGCAAGTTTGTAACAATTGAGCATAAAACTTATACATGCACCTTTTCTCACAGATCTTTTACTTTCAGTGCAAGCAGCAAATTCAAGTAGTACAGAAGGTCACGACAACAAAGGTTTTTATAACTTGTGTCTTTAAAGGATATTCTGACTGAAGAGATATTTAAGAAGCTCTTCTATTTCACCACTAACTATTAAGGAATAACGATCAGAATTCTAGAAGAGGGAACAATCTCATTTAAGTGAATCTGTAACTCGTAAAGACAGAAGGCAGGTCGGTGACCTAAGAGCAACAGTCTACTTGAGATTTAATTTTCATTATGTTGTTCATGAACACCCAGAACACTGCACTATAATGCACAAATGGATACTGACATGGATCCTGCCAATTTTGCTCTACAGATCATACTTTTACATTATCTTTCTAATGGGCACTATATCTTTAGCTTGCAATGACATGACTCCAGAGCAAATGGCTACAAATGTGAACTGTTCCAGCCCTGAGCGACACACCAGAAGCTATGATTATATGGAAGGGGGGGATGTAAGAGTGAGAAGACTTTTCTGTCGAACTCAGTGGTATATGAGGATTGATAAGCGAGGCAAAGTAAAAGGGACAAGAGAAGCAAACAACAACTACAGTAAGTAATATTTTTGCTTTTCCTATATCTAAGTTTTTAGAAAGTTATACATCATTTTCTCCTATTCCTTGATTTATCCTAATTTCAAAAGAATTTTGTACAGTGTACTGAGCATTGTATAAGACAAGTTTTCCAATTGGTCCTACAGCAGGACATTTGTTATTGATTTTGAAATGCGTCATTTTAAATACTACATTGTAGATCTGCTAATGTATTAGTTACAGCTGGTAACTATTAGCAAACACAGAGCCTATTTTAACAAGTGAATTAAGGTTGTAAGTATGAAAATGTATAACCACAAATTCTGCTTATAAAATACTTATGAAACATTAAATCACGTTTATATAGTCTACAAACTACCTTGGTGTGTTAGAGTTAACAATTAAAACATATGCAATACTAGAAAGTTAAATGGAAAGAATTATGTAAACTCTCTTGCAAAATCTTTTAGATAGTTTGCCAAGCCAGGAACAAAATCTATTATAGTTTCTGCAGTTCATTATTACAATGATCATGATGCTGAAAAAAATATTCTTTCCCCTTTCTTCCAAAACCATGACTCATCTAGAGAGAATGGACATACAATAGTTTGCAAAGCTTTACCAAATACAAGTTTTGAACTGGTACAAGAATTGTTGTACTGATCTGTGTTTTTCACACAAACATTTATCTTCCATTTTAAGGCATCAATTCTACAGTCACTTTTTTTGCCACTTTGGCTTTCATGTTATTACAAATATAATGTTTACTTAGAAAACATGACATCCACTTGAAATATCATTATTAAGATACAACAGGAAAATATATAGGATTATATTGCATATTTCAAAACAAAATTGTAAGGAAAAGGAGGCAGAGACATGCTGGTCTAGTGTTTACAGCCAACTGAAAAGACAAGTATATTTCCAAGGATGCTATTAAAACCAGTTTTCGTGTAGGTTGTATGTATTATTTGTCTTTTGTAACAGCAGCAGCAAAAAGAATCAATAAATCAAACTTCAATAACTGTTAGTGTAATTCAGCTTTCAACTGAAGCTGACTGATTATTTTCTGTAAGAACAGCACTTTTGCATGCTAAACGTCTGACTAGTGGTCTTCATAATTTATTTCTTGCCTTCATGACTACATTAAGTGCTTGGCAACTTGCATGGCTAAAACCTCATTGACTGATGTTACTGTTTCTTTTAAAATTTATTTCCATATGTCTCCTTTCTTCCTGCACTATTACGTAGTGAATAACCATATTCCTCTGAAAGAAAACACATGGCCAGCAGCCAAATAATTTATTTGGTCCATATTCAAGAAGACTCCCATTGAGTTTCAGGACATTGCTACAATAGAGATCTATAGGGCTAGTTGTGAAGTGAAATGTTGTTCCCATAAAAATCACTGGGAAAACAGATGCTAACTATTGAAATTGTTTCTTCTAAATTTTTAGAGATAAATGAATACCAACAGTACCTTTTTTTTTGTTGTTTCTGTTATTATTTACAAACACTTCACAGAGATATGACAGCACAGGGGAATGAATAAGTACAAATTTGCTTTTTTTTAGTTCCATGATGCTGAAGTAAAAGCATTGTTAGTAAAGTAAAGGTTCTCAGTTCTCTGTAGGATGCTGGAGCACACTAATGACACCATGAAATGTTCTGTAGTGAAACCGTTAGAGGATATCAGATTATCTTGTGCTAATGGCAATCCATTTTCCTGTATTTTTCTGAACAGTTTATGAATATTTAGTCATGGTAATTAACTATTACAAATTACAGAAAGACAACCTAGTGTTGTTAAACCTTTCCATTTATATTGCAGTGAAAACAGTTTTGAATTCTTTTTCTGATAAATGCAACAAGTATCAGGAGAAAAAACAATCAATACTTGCATGGTTTATCTGGTAACTGATGTGTGCTATGATGATTTGCCTCCACTACATTTAGCTAAAGTATGTGGGAAGTCTCCCACCATCTTAAGTTTATGTCTCTTGATGTAATTTATCTATTGTATACTAGGAAATAATATCCAAATGATTTTTGTTGGACAAGTAGAATAGGAAAATCTAGACAAGGAGGACTGGAAAAATGTGAACACTGATAACTTGGATTTTCTGAGAAACTAAAAAAACAAATAGTGTTCTGAGAAACATTTTTTGTCATACTCTCTATTCAAAAGGGCATGTGAGCAACCTGCCTGAAGATGTGTTTATGGCTTTCTACTAAAATACTTATAAAGAAAATAATTTATTCTGTAAGGGAAAAACCAAAACAAAACTAAAACACACACACCCCCCCCAACCCACCTGGAATGATACACTCTCCCTAAGCAGAATTTTTAACGTTAGAAGACTAAACAGGATACTTGTATCCAGGGGCTCTGAAAAGCATGATTTAAAAATCATAACCTTTACAAAGATGTATTAACCTGGGTGTTCAAATGTTCTTGTTCTCTAATTTCTAGTTCTGAAAGTTAGTAAAAGGGAAATCATACCTGTTTCCCAGGATGGAATCCTAGAACAGTTGCAGTCAAATTAATCAATGGGTACAAAAAGTGTTGCTCCAAGAAGTGTCTTCTTATTTTGCCCTCATTTTCCACTTACATAATAAACAAAATGAATCCTTTTCCCTTCTGTATCACTAACATGTGATACTAACAAGAAAAAAAATTAAAATCATATTTTTAACTATCATAACTTAGCTTCATAAAGGAAGCTCCATTGACAGCTTTGCAGGCAGAGTCAACTACTTGTTTTCAGCCCATGAATTGTGAACATGAATAATGTGAAGAGCAATCTTCACATTGAGAAATGTCTGTAGAATATCATCATCATAATTCTAGCAAGTGCCAGAATTCACAGAGCTTCTCTCATCAGTCAAGACTATAAATGTGAGACTGCCAAGATGGTGAGGAATTAGGGTCTTTGTATTTCAAACTTCTCTAGCAAGTTACAGAACATATATACACATCCTATGAAAGGAGAAGCAAAAATAAAGTGTTAAAATTTCTTAAGATTTTAATTCAAAAGCTGGTGTATTATATATATGTAGCCTGAAATTCCGTGACAAAATTAAACATTGAACCAAATCCTCACTCACCAATTGCAATTACTCTGTATTTATAATTCACTTGTTTCAAAATGCATTAGAAGTTAACTGCTTAATCCAATGTACAGTTTCAGTGAAAGCAAGTTGTTGAATTCCATTTACAACAGTGATGCCCTTGTTAGGCATCCAAAGAATATTTTTCTGGGCACATTTCAGAGAGCAGTAGAGCCTTATGGTGTACATAAAGGTGGTAACTCAGGAGAAAGGTAAGCAAATTAGAGCACAGTGCTCTCCACTAAGCAGAGGAAATCACTTTGTACCTGACAGCTTTGCTTTCATTCTGAACACTAAAAGGCAGAGTGAGAACTGAGAATCACATACTGAGAAACTAAAGCAAGAATTAAGAAGCTCCCAAGAGAATAGGTCACCCCAAAAAAAAACCTGTCTGCCATTATTCATAAATAGTTTTCTCTCTGACAATCACTTACTATCCTCTGTCCAAGCCTAAACTACATGCTTTTTATTAAAAAACAAGAAAAAAATTATCTTGTTCATGTAAAATATTCTAACACACAAAACAGACTTCTTGAATTCATGATTATAAAAAGTGAGAGTGACTGAACAAATCTTGGGAGATAATGAAGCAATTTGTTAACTCCATCTTTGAGAGAAAATAAATCTCTCCTTATTACTGCTTGCTTACTCCTTTCAGTTTGTGCTTATGAATTTTGACAGATTTTATTTAATTTTGTTCAGAAAAAAAAAGGGCAGCAAAAAATCAGAGTTTGTTTTGACTCTATCAAGAGGATTTACAACTAGCACTAGATGATGCTTTAGGACTTTCCACGCTCTGCTGCCTTTGGAATCTCATTTTAAAGACTTCAAAGAGTCTCTAAGTTACTAGAAAAGCCTTCCTGGAACCTGAATCCTAAGATGTCTGATCCTATCACGATCCATGTGTGCTCTAAAGGCAGAAAGTGCCTATTTCCTCTTCTTTTCAGTGGATAAAACCAACCATAAAAAAAAAGGGGGGGGGGGGGGAGGGGGTGAAGGGAGGGGAAGAGAGAGAAAAAAAAAACAAGTCTACTGACATCTTGGGCAAAATCTTGATTTCAATTTTTTTCTCTGGGCAAAATACTTCTACTTTGATCAAAATCCAACAAGTCAGTTTTCAGCAATACTAAAGCAACTGTTTTATTCAAACCTAAACTCTAAATCATGACAAAATAAACTTTATATGCATCTTAGTAGTTGAATACTCAAACTTGCTTAGAAATCAAAATTATTTCCAGGAGCATTTTATACATACTTCTTCGAGTAAAACAGATATTGGACTATGCATGCTATGCCACTATATAAATTTTTATTTCTGTTGCTTAAATATATATTACTTAGAGGAGCAAAAATATTCAGTATCTGAAAATCAGCTATTTCAAGGCAGGTATTGATATTCAGTTAGGGATTCAGTTAGGGTGTGTTCCAACCAAACAGGAAGTCTGCCTTTGCAACTGCATTCTTGATTTTTCAAGAGGCTGCTGGTTCAACCAATACGGTGGCTCCAGAAGAAAACCTTCACTAATGTGAAAGTGCCTTTGCTTCACATTAGTATTCTGCTAATCTTTTCAATTATAAGGGATTTAATTCTCTGGCAATTTATGTGTAACCTCTCAAAACTTAGCCTACAGTGCCAAGGATTACTTTCTCTCTATAGTGATTAATTAGATCTAAATATAACAGATCTCTCTAGCTCTTTGTCCAGCACTGGTTGCAGATCTAGCACTCCTCAAGATTCAGCACAAGAGACTCTCTGCCTATATTTTAATCACAAATCCCAGCCTTTCACCATCAACTGCTGACAAAGATGGGTTTTAGCAAAGATACAGACAACAGAAGCAGCTGAGTTGTACCTGTCTTACAGCTTCTGTTGACTTTTTCAATAAGGGTACTCTCTGGGAGAAGTGC